GCACTATTTGACTGGCCAGTGAAATGCCTGGCCTCAGCCTAAAGAGAAGAGGGAAACAACTCACCACAATTGACCACAATTACAGTGACTGCCAGGCTTTGAAGGGAACCAGTGAATACAAACAAGAATATTCAGAAATACATGCCAGAACAGACAGGAGACCTTGAGAAGTGCAGGGGATCAAGATGCATCTGTGGTGTGTGGTGTCTCGAATTTCTTCTGTCATGCAAAGTTCCCTAGTTTGTGCTGGTAACAGAGCTTAATAACGCTGGAAGAAAAAAAAGGGGGGGTTGCAGTCAATGTGGATGCTGCTGAACAGAAGTTTTGAACAGACAACATGCAAAAAGATCACCACATGCAATTCAGCAGCAACCTAAGTGCAGTTTTTAGTATTTGTTAATATTCAGTGAGATGCAGTAACATTGCTGTAGATAAAAGGACGTACAGGAATAAAAGTATGTTTGCTCTGTGACGCCTTGTGGAGTCCAAAGAGTCTCCTCCATGGACTCTGACCGTGACGTGGTGCCTCCTTGTGGGGATACTGAGGAATAACATTAGATCACAGAATTATACAATAAAACATTTGACCAGGGAGAAAATTGTATGGAAGGTGTGCTCCTATGACAACTGGAAAGCTCTCGTCAAACTAAATACAGAAAATACTGAAAGCTCTGCATATTTAGGTTCTCATAGTATCAAAGCTAGAAATCACCTTATGACCCATGGCTCTCGCTTAAACAACATCTTTCTATCTCTTCTAACTGGTAATTTTCAAATGAATGGATGTTCCTCCTCTAACCTGTAGTGCGTTGCTGTTCATCACTTGTGTCTCTGTCTGCAGCGGGCTCATTGTGTTCCCAGCGCCCATCAGGTTGAAAGGATCCTCACTCGTCTCAAGTAGGGAGGCCCTCTCCACCAAGAGGTATGCCACCTGCTCACTGGGGCTGCTGTGAATCAACTCTGTGAGACCCTGCTGGTACAGCATTTTAGCCACCTCGCTTATCTGGGTGTCTATCACAATAAAGAAGTGAGAGGAAGGAAAAGGATTTATAATGTTTTATATTCACTACTGCTGAAAATTTGGAGTTACAAGGGAGAGGTTTATGTAAATATACCCCACTAATGGCTTCACTTATACAGTATTTTGATTTACACATCTCTGCAGATTGAAGAATAGGACAGGACACTTGGATTACTGCTAAAATGGAGCTGTCTTTTGCTTTATAAAGAAAGTCTTTCAGGGTATGAGACAAAAGCATCTACATTATTTTCTCAAAATACACTATTACTCTATAGACAAATGCTGTACAACAATTTGGAAATGTGCATTGAAATAGTGAAGATGAAGACCCAGAGGTATGAATTTTGCTATGGTGATGTGGTGTACTGGTAAACATTTCCAACCTTGAAGGGATATCAGCTGCCGCAGCTGGTCCTTGAGCTGATCGTTCTCATCTTGTATCTCCTGAGCCAAAACATCTTTTTGCTCTGTAAAGATGCGGATCTGCTCAAAGGACTTCCGCACCTTACAGACAGAGAGACAGAACACCAGCGTCGAATGTCGCCTTTACAGACCCTCTCTTTTGCATATTCTCACACGGCAGTGATAACTTACCTCTGCCATCTCTGCTAAGTGTTGTGAGCGCTGCTTGTCCTGGTCCCTTGTCAGACTGCTTTTTGTGCGCTGAAGGGCACGCCATAGCAAACACAGCTGAGCTTCCTTAGGGGAGTCAGAAGCAAGTCCCTCCTCACTAAACCATGTGGAAATCTGCTCCAGCTCCTCCTGTTGACAGCATTGTTGACATTATTGCATGCTAAGAGAGGGTGATGATACAGGCTCCAAAGTGAAAACACTGCAACACATGGACAAGGTTTTGAGGCAGATATGGATGATCACTGATTCCCAGCAGTGTTTTCATCTTCCATCTAAAATGGTTCTAAAAATTGTCCCAGAATGTGCCCCAAACTCTGAGCTAGAGAGACAACTGACACTTCTCTCAGCTGTGGCTTAAGTTGTTTGCACACTTTGGAGCAGCTGTGTCTTTCTGTGGAAACAGCTGGTATTGCCAGTATGGTTGTGTTGAATTACTTCTTCTATGTGCATCTGCAGAACAAAACATAATAATATCTGACTTTATCTTGTACAGTGCGCACATTTGTCACTATAAACACAAGATCTGCAGTCAGACTTGGTGAAACCCACAGAACTTTATTTTTAATTCTAGTGTATCCCAAAGTTTCTAAAGCAGCCGTACAAAAAAAGAACAAATAAGAAAATTCACTCAGTGTAAACAAGATTTGGAACAAGCTGATTATGGTGTGTGATGCAGGAAACAGTTCATCACTAGTTTTACGGTGTTAGTTTAATGAACTAAAAGTCGCAGGTTTTAGTTTAGTAAAAAGAAAAAGCAAAATGTGTTCAGTACCTCTGGTTGGGCCATTTGTCCTGCGGCGAGAAGCAGCTTTACACCGCGATACACTCACACTTTAGTTTTTATTTTTGTCGTTTTCCGAAAAAGTCCGACTGCCAACTGTCACTGCCATGGAGACAGAACGTAGCCTCCCGTTCCAGGACACACAGCGACGTAACCACGCGAACCGACCGTTGTTTTTTCCCCGTAGTCTAGCGGTTATAACGGTACGTTACTAGGAGGAACGTACTCGAAACGTTCACGTCAAAACCAGCTACAGAGAGTGAAAACATAATGTGGGTTGATGCTGGAGGAAACTACTGTAAAACACCGCTTTCTGTTGCTTGAACAAGTGGCGAAGTTCTGTTAGTTCTTCTTGTGAAGACTCACGGCTTCTGCGCACTGTGACCGTGGTTCTGTTTGTGGGTCCCCGAAGGCGTCTTATGGGACCTTTTAACAGGGTGAATAGTTTGAAGTCACCGGTAAACATCAGTAAAAACGAAACTTTGTGCAGGAACCGGAACCCATTTTACATTTGATAGTTGGCTTAGTGATGGCTGTTAAATGATGTTATATGATGTTATATGATGTTATATTTACATTATAGGCAGCCTGTTTCTACTCAAGTCCTGTAGCTACAAATTTTACTTGAGTATTTACATTTCTATTTTGCACTATTTATACTCCACTACAATAGCATTGTTGTTAACGTTTATATTAAGTGGTATTACTGCGCAACATAAAATAGTTCATATTAGCATCACCTTGATCGACTACAACAGTGAAATGCTGCTCACATTTATGTAACATTCATAGTAATCCATAATATAATTTATAGGTAATAGATAGAGTTGAACAAAGTAGGCTACACAGCGCCATTACTTGAGTCAAAGTGGGCTGGATACACCTGGTCAAATATTACAATACAAGTGAAAGTTGTCCAGTCAAACGTTGACTTGAGTTAATGTAGCCTACAGGAGTAGCTCACTTACCTTTAAAGATACTTAAGTAGGCCTATTCAAAAGTACATTTTTTGTCAACACATTGTTCTATTGTTCCACAGTGCATTTACAGAACCTAATGACTCTGAAACAACCCACTGAATTGATTGACTTTCTTCCTGTGGGATAAAAAGCTTGTAGAATATGCTACAAAACCTATAGAAATGTCCATAAAAACACAATTCAATCAACAAAAGGACAGAAAAGCATGACAGTGATGAAGTTTGGTCATGCTAAACACAGTTCACATTCAAAATGATAGGAATCGTTCTTTTATTTCTAAAATTTCTAAACATGGATGTAAGACAAGGCCATGTGTGCTCTGGTGAAGAATCTTCTGCCTCATCTTTTTCTAATGTAGCCATCGTTAGGCCACTGTGCTGCCAAGTTCAAACTGAGCTGTTCAAAAATGCAGCAAGCACAACATGACTGACAGTGCAGGAGTGTGATTGGTTTTTCTCCTGTGATGAACAAGGTATGGTCTATTACATTTTCAAAAAATAAAATAAAATTCATTAACCAATAGCTCTGCTTCAAAGTAGCTACTTCATAGAAATGTAGTGGAGTCAAAAGTGCAATATTTGTCTTTTAAGTTTAATGGAGTAAAGTCATAAGTCATAAGGTACTTTAAAAATATACTCAAATACAGTACTCAAGTAAATGTACTTTGTTTATGTCCACCCCTGATAATCGATAACAATCACAGTGACCATTTCCTGCATTGAGTACTTTAACTTTTGTTAGACCTACTGTACTTAAAGTAGCCTACATTTTGTTAATAACACTTACTGTACTCTGTGTATATTTACTTGAGTGATATTTTTAATTCTGGACTTTAATTGTAATGGAGTATTTTACAGTGTGGCATTAAGTAAATGATTCAATAAATTCTTCCTCCACTGATTATTGGTTAACTGATTAAATTTTACTCATAATTAGGTATAGGCATCCACTGTTGCTGCAGCTGCTTGTAACTCTGTGTTCATTATACAAATAACAACATAAATTGCTATGAGGTGCAGAGTTTCTACACAATTTAATATTCTTTCTGAGGATTTGATTTTGCATGTTGTGTCTTGGGTGGTCTGAGATTTCCTGCTCATTTACAGTCAAAAGTGTTCAGTAATCAGCCCTTATTTCCTGCCTTTCAATCGCCCCACAGGAAGTCTCCATGATCGTTGTGGTCTCCATGCCAAGCTGCACAGCTGGATGAACAGCATGAGTACATGGGCAACACTGGGACAAAAGTGTGGATTTAATAATAGAAAAATGTACCATTGCCAGCCCACACATCTACCACCGTCAGAGTTATGAAAAATATGCTTCAACTACCTGATTCTTTTTGTTCTTCAGTACGGTCGGAATGATGGATTTAATCATGCACGACCGTACAATATTTTGTTCCACATTTTACAGCAAAATGGCATGTCTGTGGTATAGCTTGTGCTCTGTGTTTATGCAGGTCCAGAGGAATGTTATTTTTGGTGCCGAGCTGGTCCAGACCACAGATTTGAGGGGGAGGGCAGGGAAAGTTGAGAGGAAATGGGTGTTGAGAACTCCTCCTATATCTAACTCCACATTCCTCTCCTATACCGTTCTCTCCAAGTTTTGGAGCTAAAACGTCTGAGAGGGAAGCAAGAGCACAGAGGGAGGATAGCAGCAGAAACGCAATCAAAGACGATCACTGAAGGGTGCAGATTCAAAGACACAAGCTGAAGGGTAAGAACTTCATTAACACATCTTAGTTATGGATTAAACAGAATACATATTCCTGGGGTTTTTTTTTTTTATTACTATCTGACACATTCAGCTTAGTAAATGAGGAACCTCTTGCCCAATGAGATGCAGGTCACACCCAAATGTGATCTAAAGTTAACAGCAGATCCTTTAATGACATTGTTTGGATGTCTATGAAGATGCTTTTCTGTTATTCCAGCATGATACACTTGTAGTTTATGTTGTCATTACTTTTGTCCTGTCTGTGCCAGGTACCTCAAGCTGTTATGTAAACCAGACGTAGTAGTATGTAATCAAACACATGCCTCTCTGAATTGTCCACAATCTAATAGCAACAGTGGTTTCCCTCTATGGGCAGAGCTGGGTGAGAAAGACAAACATGTGCAAGGCGTAGAATACCAGGTCCCAGCAGTCTAGCTGCACAGTGAAGGGTATAAACAAAAGTTAAAAGTTTGAATGTAGCACCCTTATTTGAAAATGGATTAAATGATTTGTGAAATCATGCATCAGTCTCTCTTCCTGGCCACAGGAATAAATGTGTCAGATGCACAGTGTTGGTACTATAGTCATGTTTTAGTAAAAAGTCCTGATGTACTGGTTAGGCCACATAACAACCTCTGTGTTTACTAATTTTAACAGCTGTATCTAGAAGAAGTGAAACCAAACAGCAACAAATCTTGCTTAATAATATGACTTCCCCTTATGTGGTCCCAAAGGTTTTTGGTGAAAAAGCCACACCGATTTGATGGATAGGATTATAACAGTTCTGTTAATTCTCACCAGCTTTGATACTGTACTGACTGTTGTAAAAAACAAAAAAAACCCCAACCTTTTCACAAAAGACTTTCTCTGTATCGATAAATGAGAATAATTCAAGAAAATTGAAAAAACTTTTCATATTCATTGTGTAATGACAGATTATCTTGCTTTAAAGAACCTGAACTCAAAAGACACAATATCTTCATCAGACCGGTGGAAGATAAAGTTTCAGACCACATGCTTGTTTACAAAGGTCACAGGGCGCTGATGTTCTGATGTATTCCCCAGAGACTAGACAGCCTCTGAAGCCAGAGTGAAATCCCCCCACTGTGTGGCATGCTTGTGGCTTGATAAATGAGCAGAGATTGTCAGAGTAGATGTTGAGAAGAATGATGAAAGTGCTCAGAGTTTCCTCGAGAGGCAGACAGAGAGTCCACTGTTTTAGGCCACCGCCTTGAGAAATGTGCTGGCTATTTTGAATGACATGGAAGAAAGGGACGGTCTTTAGCGATGGCAAATGGTGCTTCTTTGACTACAGAGCTTCAGTATGAATCCACCTAAAATGATTTTACAGGATTACTGGTCTTGTACTATAATCTGTAATCATAATAACATCACAAGGTTGTTTGCACACAGGATACTAGAGTCTTACCTCATCTCCAAGCAGTCATGGTCTTCCTCCTCATATCCCTAACTGTGCTACATCTGGTCACCTTGGCCATGCTCCTCATCGCCACTCTGGAGAAGGTGAGATGCACACGTGAACTGGTTTATTAACTCATATTGTTCCTGTTATGCATGTCATTCCTAATTCATGTATGAAGAAAACCAAAGACAAAAACTCTGCATATCAACTAACTGCGGTTTTTGTCATGGAGTCATTTTGAAATCTGATCCATCAGTAATTATAAACGAAATGACTGTGTGTGCCATTTGACCTAATATAGGCACAAATTCAATGTGATAAAAAACTTTCTTTCACTCAATCGCTCTTTCTTTATTTTTTCTTTCTTCCTGCAGTCCTGGTGGATATGGGCTGATACAGAAATCAGAGACCTCTGGTATAACTGCTTCCATGATAATGCCACAAAGACCTGGTTGTGTGCTGCTACCAGTGAAAGCGGTAAATTATCCGAGTGCTTGTCTGAATGTTTACCTACACACTTGCAAGCTGGTTTGTTTATGTGATGGTTATATTTATATTTCTGTGTGACTGGATATTGCAAATTGTGTGGAGTTTTTAGTTTTACTTGTGAGCCAGTGTTGTGCACCTGTTCTCTCAGACTGGCTGCAGTCAGTCCAGGCCCTCATGGTCCTCTCTGTGGTCTTCTCCTCCATCTCCTTCCTGGTTTTTCTGGGCCAGCTATTGACCATGTCAAAGGGAGGACTCTTCTACTTCACAGGCCTCTGCCAGGCATTTGCAGGTGCTTTGAAGTCTTATTCCTTAATCCGCATAAAACTGTTCAAATGAAATCCTGACATTTTATATTACAACCGGCATTTTATATTATCATTCTTCAGAGGACTCATTTCTTGTGATATACTGTATGTACTCATGTTTTGTACATGGAGGAAGTAGCCCAGATTTGGGATATCAATGGCTCAATGGCACTAGATTGTACAGGTATACCTAATGAGGCGAACAGTGTCGTCTATAAACCATGAAAATGTATGAAATAAGATCATTTCGACTAAAACTTTTTTAACATCTTACTCTTGTAGGTTTCACAGACTTTGCGGCCTGCCTCATCTTCACCTTCCACAGAAAGGAGATCCTTAATGACTCCAGAGATCTGAGCAAAGGACACTTTGGCTACTGCTTCATCCTGGCATGGCTATGTGTCCCTCTGCTGCTGGTCAGTGGAGTCCTGTATGTCCACCTGCGCAAAAAGCAGTGAGCCAAAAAAGTAGAAAGGATGAAAATGAAAACCTCTTATAAAGAATGCAACGCTCATTACTCAACTTCAATCATTTCCCAGTTAACAGTAAGCACATATTAGGAAATAAAATGACTGATAATCAAAATACCTCTTTAAACTATACAAATCTATTTTCTGTCTGAGTCAATATCCACCCTGCTGTACTACATCGTATGTGGGACATTTCATTAACATTCAAGAGCAGATCAAGAAAACTCATCAATCATGTTGTAAGATACAAAGCTCTTCTTAATGTGTCACATTTTATTACATTATTACATAAAAATATTAGATAATGAATGCATATCTCGTGGTTGTATGATTGTTATCACGGTAAGAAAATATTGATTTCAAATGACTTGTTTTTGTATTTTGTACATACCTGTGTTTACTTATTAAAAACAGAATTCACTGAATGTTGTATAACCATTTATTGCTTTCACCAAGTAGCAAACATGTCATCTTTACTAAAGAGCATTGCTGTGTTTATAAGGCTAAATGTGCATACGGCCTGTTTGTTTTATATTGAGTACCTTAAGAGTAACACAGTGCAGGTGCAATCCTCTGACTTAACACTAAGGTTGTGAAAGGGTGTGTCACTTTTGTGTCTTAATCTCTCATTGTCGTGTGGCATTCATTATCTACTTTACAGCCTTAAAATATGTCTACACAATTAAATGAGAGGAATGTGATGATCAGCTGATCACTGGGGCACTTCTGTAGTAGCCTATGGCCACCGTTTCTAAAGTTATTTCTACAGAAAACACTGTGGTTGCACCTGACACCTTTTTAGATGTCAGATACGGTGTTGCATGTTACTCTTCTACAAACCTACCTGTCCGGCTGAACCAGTCCAAGAAGAAGACAGTGAGGCAAACAGCAGCCTGTATATAAATATAGGATGCAAGTCAATGTTATTCGCCAAGCACCTCACACTCTTTTAGGAAGTGTATGAAGTGAACCCAGAAAATTAGAGACTGTATTTTTTATTTAAATCCTGCAGCTATGGGAGACAGCAGAGGTACAGTAGGATATAACATCATGATTGTGTGTCTGAGCAGCTCAACAATCTGTCAGCTGCACAGAATCTCTGGAATCTGAGAACAATGTAGGTAACAGGGAGTGGAGAGGTTGAGAGGAATGAGATGACAGGCAGGGGAGGAGACACATCTTCTAACAACTTATGATTAACACTGGAGCCTGAGAGAGATGAGACATACTAACCAGGAGGTGAGTTTCACAATGTGTTTGTTTCTTTATTTATCTTCTTCTTTTTTTTTTAAAGTGTGTTAAAATTGACTTTTTTGAACACAACCTGTTGATTTTTCTCTTATGTCAACAAGAGCTGGGGAACAAGGCTGCTGCAGAACACAAAATGTTTTCAGGACTGAACTTGTGAACGTTGAACATGCTTAAGAAGGAGCGACGTGAAGCAGAAATATCAAGACATCTGATGATTCCTGGGTAGCTGTTGACAACATGGAAATATTGTGACTTTTCTTTTTCTTTTTTTCTTTTTTGCCAGAGGAATGAATGACATTATCGCTTTTGTTAAATTGAAGGGTGACATGAGCCGGCCTGGAATGGTCTCGTTTTCACACAGCTGTTGTCAGTAGTGGGAACCTTAATAGATAGCACTTTTTAGACACACCAGACTGCAGTCATGTCAAACTCTCAGGAGCAGAGCCTTGATGAGAATGCAGTGTTCCTTCCAGTCAATGAGTCCTCCCCAGAGTTCATCTACTGTGAGAAGGAGCGACAAGCGGTGGAGACACTCCTGAATTCAGGACCAGAGGCGTTCTACAGCTCCAGTGGCGCAGAGCACCCCGGCAGCTTCTTGTCTTCTGAAGAGGTCAGCCAGATAACCAGCTGGGCTCAGGACTATCGCTCTAACCAGCTGCAGGTACAGCGGGAGGAGAATGGAGTGGAAGGCAGCTCAGAGATGGAGGACTTCTGTTCCACCTATTTCCCTTGCCACTCAGACACACCAACCCCAGACCTAGACCTTGGCTGGCCTGAAAAAGGCCCCTGGGTTCCAAAGGGAAGCGTAACAGTCCACACCAGTCCCCCAGCTGAAGGAGAACCTCCTGTCAGAGAGATAATACGACGGCACTTACAAAAGGCCAGGAAAGTATGCAAATATGATTAATAAGATTTAATTTTATGGATGAATACAACAAACATTTTCACATGGAAAACGTAGAAGTGAACTACATATGTACAAATTTGAGGAATACATGAGTATTTACATTTTCTGAGACTTTATACGGTCAAACCAGAATTCAGCAGAAAGTTTACTTGTTGCTTCAGTATTTGTTTAATGCTTTAGTTAATACTTACTTTGCATATTAAGATTTTCATGCTAAAAACATTTATGAAATAATAAAATATGAAGCACTGCTTCAGTTTGAACCCTCCAACATTAAAGACAAGTCACGATAAATAATACGATAAAATACACTTTTGAGGTGAATTCTATACTTTAAGAAAAAGCATTTCTTAGAGTGAGTATTTTTACTCTTCAGCATTATAATTTCACTGTAACCTCTTCAGTTTTAGCATCTGATCACTTTTTCCACTGCTGCATCCAAGAGAATTTTCATCTGTGAACAATAAGAAGGGAAAAGAGGGTCTTTTTCTGAGTAATATTTTGTGTACCATACAGGTAATTGCCATTGTGACAGACAGACTGACAGATGGTGCGATAATTGGCGATTTACACTATGCTGCCTCCCATGGTGTCGCTGTCTACATCATCCTGAACCAAAGATCCATTCAGGAGAATTTCACTCTCAACAGGCTCAGGCATCCGGTGAGTGACGAATCAGCACACACCTAGCAGCTATCCTCTTGTTTACTGTATGTTCAACAGATCAACACATTTGCCTATGTAACTGTTGTCTCTTTTAACAAATATCACACCAGAAAGCAAGTGTACATCAGTTTCATTAAAAACTTGACACACTGTAGATGTGCTGTTGAGAGGTATGTAAACTGCAAACATATCTCTTTTCTTTGATATACTTATGCTAGGAATGTACTTTTGGTTGCACATAGCTAAACTGGTTGCTCAGCATTCAGTGTTTTCTGTGTCTCTCAAGCGGAGAAATACCTGCCTTCTGATAAGAATAAAATGAAGATCCTATTTTCATGAATGCTCTACATGAAATTGATGAACACAGCTGAACAGAAGTTAAAATTCTATGTCAGTTTCTATAATTGAGCTACAGACTTATGATCAGCTGATCTAAGACATTCACTTGGTATGGCATGGTGTGCCACTTTGGTCCAGACTGAAACATCTCAACAATTACTGGGTGGATAACCACAAAATTTGGCACAGATATCCTTGGTGCTCAGAGGATGAACTCTAATGACATTCATGATCTCATGATATTTTATCTGGTGCCACCAGCAGGTCAAAATCTTAACTTGTCCTGTGAAATAGTTCAACATCTACTCGATTGATTGCCATGAAATTTGGTACAGACATTGGATGTATCCTCATCACTTTGGTGCTCACCTGACTCTTTGTCTAGCACCATCATCAGGACAAATTTTCAAACAGGTGAATACTTTAGTTCATGACCAAACACCTGAAAACTTTCTGTTTAGCAACATTTGCAAATCTCTACTAATTAGGCTGCTCACTCACCAAACAAAGACAGTGAACATGGTAAACATTATACCTGCTAAACATAAGCATGGGCATGTAAGCATGCCGCCATTAGCATTTAGCTTGAGGCACTGCTGAGCCAAAGTACAGCCGGGCATGGCTGCACAGACCTTGTGTAGGAAGATATTAAATACTAGGTCATTTATTTCATCTATCCATCATGGATAAACACCAAGTTTGAATGAAATTCAGTCTTGAGTTTCAACTTAATCTTGTGATCTGGCAGAACATGCGGGTCCGTGTTCTTGGAGGGAAAACCTTCTGTTCGAGGACGGGAAGAACGGTGGTCGGGGAAATGAAAGACAAGTTCCTTCTAGTGGATTTAGAGACAGTGATTCATGGCAGCTATAGGTAAACAGACATTCCTTTCTACCCTTTTCCTTTTACAGGTGTTTCACACACTTGAGAGTGATCTAACAAACTGTCTTTGTACTCTGCAGCCTCACATGGACGGACGCCCACCTGCACCGGCAGCTGATCACTGTTCTTCGCGGAACAGTTGTTGACTCATTTGATACGGAGTTCAGGATCCTTTTTGCTGCTTCGCTCCCAGTCCCAGACACATGGAGGGTTGCAGGTACCCACGTAGAAGTGACTCATCAGCTGAAAGACTTCTCAGGTCTCCGGTTCCAAAAACAACTCTCTTTGGAGCTTGAGGTTTTCAGCCCCCCGTCTCCACCTGCTGATTCCCTCCTGGACTGGGAAGCCATGGGTGTTGTCCAGAGAGACAACTGTTTCAGTCCTCTTAATCAACATGGGGAAATGCCACTGAAGAATAACATACTGTTTGATAAAAAAGTAGCCATTATGGACACTTTTGCTGACAATGGAAACCAATTTGTGAATAAAAAAAGGTACATGGATCATCTTGATTTAACCAATCTCAGACACCATTAGTGAGGCCTTGAAGTGTCTTTGGATCAAATAGGCTATATTTATTTAAGTGTTGTACGCTGTACAGGAACCTTTTCTTTTTTCTTTGAATGAATTCTTTGAGTAATTGCCCCTTCAAAATTTTAATAATTTGAACTACAGATTGTTTGCAGGACCTCACTGATCTCTTTTTGTATTTTGACAGGGTATATGAAAACACCTCTCCAGTGACAAACCATGTGCCAGATAAATCTACAACCTTCAAGTGAGTCTTGTTGTAGCCAATTTTGACATACTGATTAAGAGTATTGGGAATGTTTGTGGTTTTTTTTCTGCTAATGTTTTTTTTTTACATATCTTTCCCTGGGATGTTGATTATTATCATTATTATCATAGCAAGACACAGCCCTTACCAAAACACCAGACAGCTCCAGAAATAATGAAGAGGTAAGACACAAAAGATGAAGAAAAAACACATTGAATGAGTTACTACGGAAATGGAATATCCAAAATATGTGGTAATGTGTTTTTTTTTTCTTCTGAAGGGTGGAATACATATTAGAAAAGACAATGTCCAGGCAACTCTCCACAGAGAGGAGCACCAATTTTGATGAAAGAACAACATCAAGACTTGACAATAAAACAGCAGAAGCAACATACAATTTGGTCAGTCCTTCTAATACAAAGACAAGAGAGCAATTAAGGAGGGAGTCCATCTTGGAGGAGAAGAGCAGCATGGATAAAACTAGCTCCAAAGTGGAGAACACACCCTCTTCTAGAGTAAGTAACTGGTCTTTGCAGTCAAAACACTTGATTTACCTCTGATACAAAGCTGCTGGGGACATTGAGATGCATTTCTCTCCTCACAGAAACCTATAATCCTGAGGGTGCCACAGTCTGAGAGCTTCAGCTCTGTGAGTGACATCATGAAGAGGATTCAGTCTCAGCAGAGCACATCAAGACCGACCAAGAAAGGATCAAATGCCGCCATGTCAGAAGTTAGCCAGTCCATGATGGACCTGAGCATATACAACACAGATACAAGTGATGACAGAGTCCCAGTGCCAAGGTTTAAAGCCAGTGTAAGTGTGTAGATTAGTTTTAGTTCTCCATGTTTATGCTTGTGACAATATACTATTGGAGGAAAAGACACTTCCAACAAAAAGACGTTTACAGCTTACAGAGATGTTACCTTTTAATTCATTTGAGGAGAAGAAACACTCTAATGATTCTGTAATAATTCTTTACTCAAGTAATAGTAGTGCACCATGATAGAAACAAGTAATCGATAAAAGGTTTTTTGAAAAAATATATTTATTCACTATGAACATTTTTGGTTAAGGCCTTCACAACATGAGTTGTGTGCAGTGTAACTACAGATACATTTCACTTCTTGCATTAACCTGCAAGAAGTAATTAAATGTTTTAGGTGCTCTAAACGCTCAGATAAATTGCCATTAACTCAAAATTGTACAGTAGTTAATTAATGTACTGTCAATCTCTGTTTCCTTGACAGTGCTTTGACCCGGGTCAGATGACGCCTGCTGTTGCTCTGATGAAGAATAGGAACAATGAACAATCTTTATTCAACAGAACTCCAAAAAACCTTCTGCCCCAAGACAGGCCCCGCAGTTCCAGTTATGGTCTCAGGTTGGACTGGAGGAGGTCGCTGACAGAGAGAGAAGGGGAACAATAATGAAGAGCGAGGACAAAAATACATGAGCAGGATCTTCTGTAACAACATGGCAGCTGCCAGCAGTGGACCTTTGCAGTGTTAATTACCCCAAATAATCCAAAAACAGACAGTGACTCTGATAATAAAACCATTGTTAATATGCAGGATGTATAAGTTTTATCTCTTGGTGCAATGTCCCACTGAATCTGATGACTAGATCTTTCACTGAATGCTGTATATAGTGCTTTACTTTATGTTTAAATAAATAAAATCTATGCTGCTAATAGTGTACAGCTGTTTTAACCACTGAACAGTACTCACAAAGTCAGTTGCATATGTGCTACCAAGAAGAAATTTACTGACTTTTTAAATGTATCTTTGAACTGATCTGCAGGGTTTGGGTGAGTGCCTGGACTCACAACTTCAGTATTTTAATTCAAAAATGCTGAGAGACAAACTTTAGGCTGGGGAAGTAGAAATAAGGAAATGTAGTATTAAAAGACTGGTGGAGACAGGGGACAAACAGTGAGAGGTTGGGGAAGATATTTATTTTGGTGACTTTTGGAAACAGGAACCTTATGAATATTAACAATCTTCATCTCCCTGCACATTTCACAAACAGATCAGATACATGGGTCCTAACTTAAAACTGTTTTTGTTTTTTTTCATCCACACCAGTGTTGGTACCATGGGTAACAATATCAGTTGGCTTGTCAGTCCACCACTTTGGTCCAGACTGAAATATATCAAGAACTATTGGATGCAATGACATGAAATTTTAATTAGACATTCAAGGCCCCCCAGATGATGACGCCTAATGACTATGTTGAGCCTGTGGCCCTCCTTTTGGCGCCACCAGCAAGTCAAAGTTTTCACTTCTACTGGACAGATTGGCACTAAAATTTTGTACAGAAAACATATCTGACTTATGTTATCTCTCTGACTTTCGCTCTTGTGCCACCATGAGGTTGACATTTGTGGCTTTAAATGAAACATCTTAACAGCTGTTGGATGGATGAGAATTTAAATATTCAAGTCTCCCTCCCTCAGAATAAATTGTAATCATTATGGTGATCCCCTCACTTTTCATCTAGTAAGGTCAAAATTCTAATTTGCCCCTTTGTTTATGACGAAGAAGCAAAACTAATGATATCCCCATCAGCCTCCGCTATACTGTTTGTTAGCAAATGCCTGCACTAAGACAGTGAAGATGATGTAAACATTATATCTGCTTAACATCTGCTTGAATGCAAACTCTTGTTATAACGTTTTCAACAGTGTACATAGAGTTATACATAGAAGGATTTTCCCTCTCCTTGCTAATTAATTGTTACCTATTTGTCATTTGCTTGATTTTACCTGTGCAAATAAACTTAACTCAAACATTTCTGTATGAGGGTATGAAGTTCTGCTGTTACACACTCCAGTGCGCTAGGTGGCGGTGTGCACCTTTCACTTAGTTTTTTCGACCCCCATCAGAACTGAATAAGAAGAAGAAACCACGGAAACACATGGTCACTAGTTTTAGAAATGTGTTAATTTGAACCTAACTAGATATTTGCAGTTTTGTTTTGTTATAATCACCAAACAGAAGCACCGGCGTTGAAACGTGTTGTTTAGTTATCACTGTAACTTCCTGTTTGTTTGCTAACGCGTAACAGGCTAGTGCAATTCATTTCCACCATGGTTCGAGCAAAAAGGTGAGTTTGGCTAAAGTTAGCTTCTGCACTTTTACCTGTTTTCAACCGGCTGTTAATGTTAAGGTTAAATGTAGCTTGTCTAAGAGTTGAGGGGTAACCTCTAGCTATTTGAGCTCTCAGACGTTCATAGCCCGGGTCCTATATCGCTGTTTATGGGTTCTACAATAAGCAGAGAAGATCTGGGAGAAACAAAGCTGGAGTTCATTGATACAAGCATCCCCTGAAGGAGATTTTAACACGTCTGTCTCCTGTCCTTTACTGCTCAGGGGTAAACAGCCACAGAGACCTAAAAAGACAGAGCGATATGATGAAGATGATCCTGAAGCTTACAAGAACATGCCTGTCCCTGATAAGGTAAGAGGACTCAGAGGATTTCTGCCACTGCTGGCTCAGGGTATCTGCAGGTCTTAAAACGTCTGACAGTGATTTTAGTTTCCTTTTTTTAAAAAAAACAAAAAAACAAACAAAAAAACTAGCCTGTAATTTATGGACCTTAAATAATTTCTGCTTCTTATCCAGGTTGAATTTAATGATTATTTAATGACATTAGTAGGAATTCTTCTAAACAGCAGTAAAGTAGTGTCAAAATGTGTTATGAATGTCAAAACATCAGTGATCATGATACATGTATTAACATTGTATGGTATTAAAAGGTCTTACAAAGTTTTAAGTTTAACTTGGTGAACTCTGCAAATAATACCTGAACTACTGTGGTTTATAACACTGATAAAAGCCAATTACAATCTTGATTATACATACAATATAGTTCCAGTTGTACAGAGTTAAAGGCTCACAACAAAAATGTGTTAAAAATATGTCACAGAGTCGAAGGTTTTGTGTCATTACTACAGTGTTGCACACCAGAGGAGTTTCAACATACAACAACTGAGCCTTTTTTCAAATGGGCTCAGATGTGTAGTGGCCCATAAAGAGAGAAATACGTTGTTATTATACACCCAACAGATGTGTTGTGTTAATTTTCGCCCACAGAAAACCTTTAACATTAGTGCATACATGGCACATAAAAACAACTGTGACTCAACCTAGAGTCAATATTTTTCCACAAGTAGTGCTCTCTTTGATGTTTTTCATAAGCATTTTTGAATCAGTGCTTACATAGCAATAATGTGACAGCAGGTGCTTGTATTAAATTTAAATGAAAGGTGAATAGTGGTGTGGTCTCCAAACCAAAAATAGAAAAACAATTGTAATATGGACATGAAGCATGGTCAAAAATAACATTCAGAAAATTGTACAATTTTTCCATATTACTGTTACTCTCTTTCTGATAATCACACTGCCTGACAGTATCTAATGTCACATTGTGATATTACACATTATAGAATGATTTGATCGTCTCAGCTTCAGTATGGTGGTCGTTATTGTCAACAGTGCCAACAGTCAGCTTTGAGCCTGTCTTCTCTCTTCCTTTCAGAAATCGTCACAGTACACAAAGGACAAAATCGATGAGTTTCACGACGAGAAGATTGCAGTGAGTTTGGCTCATTAGCAGTTCTGTGCCGACTGTATGGTGCTGTTTAAATGTTCTCACGTTTCTCTTTTGCTCTCCTTGCTGTAGAAACTTCTCGCCCGTGGCGTTCAAATGGAGAGTGATTCGGAGGAAGTGGACGATGAGGTGATGCACTTTTTAAATTTTTCAGTTGTTTTGATTTACCTTCAGAAAATTGACTTTGACTGGGAGCAAATTCAAGTTCATTTGAATTTCACAGGAGGAGGTGATGGCCCTGGACGATTCTGAGTCGGAGGAGGAAGGGGAGGAGGAAGAGGGTTCAGACATGGAGAGTGATCTAGAGGGGAAAAAAGATGAAGGTAAACGCAAAATCATCCATTTATATGTCCAGGATTTGGTTTACTATTTGATGGAACTAGCCCTATTTAACTGTAACGATGTTGTTTTTCCCAGATCTTCCTAATGAAATGGCATGGGGCAAGAAGAAGAAGATGTTCTACGACTCTGATTATGTGACCACCAGTAGGCATCTTTTATCGCCATCAAATTATTGAGGCAATTCATGATCCTTTTGTCATCTGTATGGTGGCTGATGTTTGCTTATGCAACATCGTGTCATTACAGAAGGGAAATCGCATGAAGAGTTGGAAGCTGAGGAACAAGAGGAAGAAGAAGAGGCTAAAAATATCCAAAAACGTTTGGCTGCAAATCTGAGCGAGGAAGATTATGATTTAAATTTTTTTCAGGTATTTTTTTTATTTCCTTATTCTTATTTCTCATGTACATCTGCAGTGAATTCCATGTATGATTATGATGACATGTTTTTGTTTCGTTTGTTTGTTTGTTTGTTTGTTGTTTTTTTGATATCCAGGAATTTGCTGTTGAGGAGAAGGCTGAAAAGAAAACTATAGAAAAAGATGAAAGGATTGTGAAAGACCTGAAGCAGATGTCTCAGAAGGAAAAAATGAAACTTCTGAAGAAAGAATCACCAGAGCTGCTTGAACTTATTCAGGACTTCAAAGCAAAGGTGAAACACATATGCAACCAAATTATCAATCACGTGAAACAAGATGTCGTGAACCGAAAGATACTTGCTTAGCCACAAAAGACCAATGTAATTGATGTGAATTATTTTGGTGTCTGCTTCATGTGTGCAGCTTTCTGAACTGAAGGATGAGCTGCAGCCCCTCATGCAGATGGTCAAGGATGGAAAGATCCCACCAGGAAAGGTGGGTGCATTTAGCTTAATTTCTAAATGTGATTTTTTTTTTTTTTTTTTTTTTTTAAAAGATTTACAGAAGTGCCTAAAGAATATCCTCTTATTGTTATTGAACAGACAACCAAAGGAGAGTCCTTTTTACTTCTATGATTGATTTATTCTCTCTTGCTCACTGGAGTAAAAGGGCAAAGCAGACAATTTTCCCTCTGCTACTTCAGAGATCGTTTGTTTTAAGGCATTTCGGGAAATTTACTGTTCAGTTACTGCATTTACCAAGTCTGTACTGAATTTATATGGACTCTTCAGGCTGCATGCCTGTGAGACAGCATCAGCAACTCACCAGGATTGCACTGTATGACAAACCACCTACAGCCAGTTTACAAGTAAAGATAATTACATCATTTCTATATGGTACATCATATTTTTTGTTCCTTTCTCAAGTGGCAAACAGTGTAGAGCCTTAAAAAAAAAAAAGTAGATAGAAATATTTCCATCACTTAACCTGGGGCTGTATGAGCCACAACAACAGTGAGGTGTTACTCTTTTCTTTTTTCTTTTTTTTCCCCCCTCTGGAATTTTATGGCTGTTATATTTATTGATGATACATTAGAGTACATAAAGGAGAAATGTGGTGTTTGGTGCTGTGCTGGAGGCTTGAGGTGTAAATGTTTTTTGGGAGCACTAAGAAATATATTTTAGTTGTATAGCTATGGCATAAAATGTGTGAATTTGAGTAACTTTGTTCCTGTTTTCCAAAGGGTGCTGACTACCTCAAGACAAAACAGCAACTTTACCTCAAGTAAGTTGTACTTAAATTTTAACTGAAAATTGCGAATTCATGTCATTCTCCTTAATACTGACTAATCTTTGTTCCCTACTGCAGTTACTGCACAAACATCAGTTTCTACTTGGTGCTTAAAGCGAAACGAATCCCGGCTCATAACCACCCCGTGATTGAAAGACTACTCACCTACAGAAATGTGAGTCCACAAGTTGACAAACAGTGTTAGCAAATGTATTTTCACCCTATGTGTCCAGCAGTCAAGAAAACTGCATGTAAACGCTTTTTGGTTTGGACAGTGGTAGCAATAATTATTTGGCTGGGACATTACAGTACCAGTATCATGGGACACAAAGGACCGTGAAATATCTCCTTCATGCACATATCCTCATTAGTTACAACCGTCTGTCTTTTTATTTTCTGCCTTCAGCTCATCAATGAACTGGAAGCAGTGGATGCTCGGCTTGCACCAGAGTTTCGTGAGCTGCTGGCTGGTGAGGAAAAAGATACGACCACCGGCAGGCCAGCAGAGAGCAAGAAGACCAGGGTCTCCAGTAAGAAGGAAAAGGTGAGTCTTCTCAATGAGATGTTTTGGCGTTCCTACCTTCATAGACCTGAAGGACATGCAGAGTTTGAATCGGTTTCCGATGTTTAATATGGAACATGAATGCTAATGTTGGCTGCAGGATTCTGGAGAAAGTATGCCTGAGGTCGAGGAGGACTCAGACTCTGACCTGGACGAGGAAGCGGCCCTGCGTTTCTATAACGATGTGGAGGAGCGGTTGAAATTGAAGCGAAAGGGCAATGATCCAGAAGCTGCAGAGTAAGTATGGCTTGAGTTTGTAAATAACAGTCGGGTCCAAATTGACTGGGGGTCTGATTAATGGTGAATTTGTTGCAGGATGGCGTTGCATGACGATGAGGCGGAAGAGCTGGATCCAGATGCAAAGAGAAGAATCACTTACCAGGTACTGAGTTACACCCGCTCACACACTTAAATATCAGTATTTTCCATTGACGATTCTCAGCCAGAACTTAAAAAGCTGTTCAATATTAATGATTAATAGAGGTGAATCCTCCCAGTGGTCAGTCCAAGATATACTACTACTCCAAATCTTTAAGAGGGTAAAATGTATTCTTTGTTTTTTGATGACATGAGGGCGCCACCTGCTAGAGGGTCTAAGTAGTATGTGACAATATACTCAGCTATGGAGTAGTAGAATGTCAAAATAGTGGTTTCAAACAAAGAGCAGTTAATGTCTGCAATGTACTTAGAAGTTACAAGTTTATCAGATAAATATAAACCGTGTTCCCCTCACTGCTGCTGATGTGTCTTTGAGTAGTCCATTACTCACTGGGTTTTTCTACAGTTCAATGTCTGGTATTCACTTCATGCATTCCATGTCAGACTTTGTCACCTCTGAACATTTATTTTAATAATGTGTCTCTACCAATTCCACAGATGGCCAAGAACAAGGGGCTCACACCAAAGAGGAAGAAAATTGACCGTAATCCCAGAGTCAAGAACAAAGAGAAGTTCAGACGGGCCAAAATCCGCAGAAAGGGACAGGTTTGTATTCCACACATTCACTTTTGAAGTGCATCATAAGGCTGCTGGTCTGCAGTCTCATCACTTTGAATTGAAAAGTATATCTTGATATGTCAAACACATTCCCAAGAACAATATTGAGACTTCTGTTTGTATTCACCAGGTCCGTGAGGTTCGTCGGGAGGAGACGAGATACAGCGGGGAGCTGTCCGGTATTCGCGCCGGTGTCAAGAAGAGCATCAAACTTAAGTAACCAAGAGAGAATCCAAATAATGCTGCGTGTTGCCATGGGATTGAAAAAATACCAATGGACTATACTAGTAAATGTTTATTATAGGTGATTTATTGTAGTAAATCATACCACTGAATTATTCAGCTGTCAATCTCTGTTGTAGAAAAGACATCAAAATGTCCTGGATTATTGTGCAGTGTGAATAAACATTTTATAAACTTTCAATGCTCCTTTACAGAGACAGCATTATAACCTTAGAGCACATTTTAGGACCGGTAAAAAGGACAAGGGAAGGCATGGCGAGTTTATAGTTACACTTATTACTAAGGTTGTGCAACTGGACAACATGCTGAACATACAGTAACTTTGTCAGTAGAACAGGCAAGTATGAATTTAAGCCAAACTTAAGCTCAAGATCAGGGAAGAGTACAGACAACGTAAAGCTGTGTCACGGACTCAGATGTGCGTGTGGTGACTGTCAACCCGCTTGTTGAGTTATGAACTTGTTGTGTGCTGATGTCAGGTTGCTCACTATCCTCTCCTCTATCTCCACCTCATTCTTTACATCCTCCTCTGTGAGGATCAGCTCAGCCTGAGTTAAAGGGGTCACAACCACCACATAACCCCGTCTAGAGTCCAGTACATTGGCCACCACCACCTGGTGCCTGTAGGTGTCAAGAGCCCGTCGAGCCTTGTCCAGCAGGATGTTTGCATCAGTCTCCAGTTTAAAAGATATGACAAATGCCTGGGGTGCCCAGTCCTTCACCAGTGGAGACAGTATCTTTGGGACCATGTTCAAGCTGAGCTGAAAGAGAGAAAAATGTACAGTCTCATTATTAACAAGAGTCTACAGCCATGCTAGCAGCTATTTGATCTAAATGCTAACATGCTGATGCTAAGCTGGTGTGTTTACCATGATTACTATCGTAGTTTTTCGTTACTATGCTAACATTTGCCACAGCTGATGCTGATGGGCATGTTAGTTTTGCAGGTATTCAATCATAAACAAAAGTGTTCAATAAAAAACAGGACCTGATAATGATGTTAGATCTAAAGTTTAGGAATGTCCAAAGTGATAATTTTTTTTTTTTTTTTTTACAAAATCAACATAAAATCTTGCGTGTACAGCAGCATTCCCACTCACTTGAAGAGGACCATTGGAAGATTGGATTTTGTGTTCAGGCATCTCAGATGCTGGGATATAGAAATCGGACACAGCTGCAGCCAGGTAAAACATGGCCTTGGATCCTAAGTGCAGAATAAACATTTGAGGACAAGCTATAAATAATATGCTAGATAAGAGCCATAACTTAAACCTGTAAATTGTTGTTATACTGTACCTATTGTACTGAGTGCCTGTGCTGCTGCTTTGAGAAGATGCAGATACTCTGACAGTGTGCTGAACTCAATGGGCAGGAGAAGTCTGCTGTCTCTCACTTCCTGGTATCTCTTCAGCACTTTGGTGATGTTCGGAAGCACCTGCTGGTTAACCACAACTTCACCAGAGGTATCAGATGCATCCTCTCCACATCTAAACTGCAAAGCATCCAGCACGTTGATGGTTGAGAACGTACGAGTGTAAGGGTAGAGGGAGCGATGCCTGTGCAGGAAGATGACGGCGTAGCCAGAGTCTAAGAAATACTCTGCTGAGGAGGCTCCTCGTCTGCCACTGCTGAAGTTGTCAAGGAAGCGAACAGTGCGTGACTCCAGGGGAACTTTAGTGCCTCCTGATGTAATGAGAACCACCCTGCGACCCGCTGCCGCATGATGTGCGGCAAAAGCAGACATCTTCTCTTTTACCTCCTCGACATGGGAGGGAACAGCAAATTCTTCAGCTAACTTTCCATCAATGGAAGATATTCTGGGTTCAGCCATTACCTGAGGAGAGACAGATGGGGGGCATTGTCAGGAGAAAGGACTCATGCAGCAGAGTAGTGATGGACACTGACAATCAGAATGTCTGACCTGTGGGTAAAGGGGAACATCATAGAATTTGTATCTCATTAGTTTGGCCTGCCTGTTCAACCAGTTGTATAATGTCTTATGGGCCTGGAGTCTGGTGATATAATGCGAAGTCGGAAATCCAGTGTTTTGAACCATGAAACCTTTAAGGCACTGAAAATCTGAATATCCCTGTCTCTACAGTTTGACCAGCAACTCCCACAAGTTCACAGCAGTGCAGTACTAAATTGTATATATGTCGGCTAATGTAACAAGAAATGGAGTAGAAATGCCAAAAGTAAAAAAAAACAGTGACGCCATTATGTAGTTTGTCCACTAGAGAGCACTACCAAGTTTATTTTTCAACTATATTTTTTACTGCGTATATGTTTTAGTCAAAATCCTTTAAAAAGAAATTTATGAGGAGCCCTTCTCAAAACTATGTGCATGTATTATGAGTTTGTATTAAAAAAATTATTTCTGCCAAATTCTGTCAGCCTCAACAGTCCGATAATAATAACTGTTTAAAAACTGTAATCTTACAATATATTGGTATACCTTACAACACATAAAACAGCTCTGCAATGAACCCTGCCTTCATGGAGGTAATGATATTAAAGTCCTCCTCCACTCAAAAATATGTTTTGAATATTTGACCTTCACTGTGTAAAAAAGAGGTTTTAATGTTTCCTGTTTGTCTGTGCTTATCTAAAATCTGAGTTAACATGTAACTGAGAGCATCCATAGACTGTATAAAAAGGTAATGTCTTGTCTAGATTGGAACCAGTCATGGTCCAGTGTGATGTTGAAACTTGAAGCCTGCGTTGGACATACATTGAGAGTGGTCTTTCAGTGATGTAGAAGACATCTTCCAGCAGTTAAACTTTTGAAATGAAGAGTATGTGCTTCTTCTTGGATTGTGGATTTTTCAGTGAGGGAGGAGGCATAGATGTAATTTCAAGGTTAACTGGCTAACCAGGTAACTGAACTTTTTTTGAAATGTAAAAACATCATGAGACAAATTATTACTCAAAGCAGAGCATTTCCGTATATCTTCGAACATGTCTGGAGGGGATCTTTACATTTTTGTTGAAACTATTTTATAGAGGTCTTGAGTCAACATCATGATGACTGTAGGAGCTGTGTTTTATGAGGGGATTGAAGTGCATTGCGTTTCACAGAGATATTCAGTATAACAACACAATTCAACAGCAGCACCATTAACTATAAAATGTTCAATCAATACTGTAAAGCACTTTAAACAAAAACCTGATGTACACACACACTTTAAAAATCACAGTTACTAGACTTTACAGTATCTTACTAATCCTTAAAACAACGTCGTGTTAATTTTCCGTTCTTTAAATTGTGCACAAACCTTAAAGTGAGTGTATCAATTTCACAGGTGAACCTTGACCTTCACGTTTGGGAACAAAGAAGTTGGCAACTGACAACGGCAAAAACAGACTCTTCATACAAATTCGTCAAAGACAAAATAAGGTGGAATCGTTCAGATTTTATCTGAAATGGTTAGTTAACATGACAGGTGAGGAGAATGCAGCACAGGTTAGTCCTCTCTTGTGCAAAAAATCATACCACGTAACGTCAGCTGCTGTTGTGCTGCTGTCTGAAATATAATTTGCGACTGTGATAATACCCTGAATGAACTCTAAACCGTCACTTGTTTTGTTACGATACCTAAATATAAAGTGCAAAATGCCCTACTTTATATTCCGAGGTTGATCTCAGGCGGTTTCACAAACAACTTCTGCACTTCCTGGAGCCAATGAGCTGGATTCTTTGGTCTTTATAAACACAGGAGAAAACCGTCAGCGCCCCCCGTGGCCGTAAACAGTACTGTCGTTAACACATGTGAGGGTGTGAGTCAGGTTGAAGCAGCGGTGCGTCAGTTTCTTATGAGGTGTCAGACTTTATGAAACTTCAGCATCACCACAAAGACCCAGAGGACAAGGGGAATTTCTCTCAAAGGGGATCTTTTGGTCTGGACTGTCCCACTGACTCAGTAAATGGCACGACAGAGAAACGACTTGCTGATCTTGACTTTTCTAACTCTTCTACTTTTTGTGAATTGTTTTAAAAACGTTTGAATGGTATAAATTGAAAGCCCACTTGGCCGATTGGACCCGGGTACACGATTGGACGTCTAATTGCTGGTGAGTTTTTTTTTTGTTTTTGTTTTTTTTTAAAACACTTTCTTAAGGGAGAAATTCCATTTATTTGAACCTCCGGTGTATCGAGATTCATATCTAAAATTGGAAGAAAAAAAATTCAAAAGGCTACGACATGAATAGCTGAAATATGTAGTCTGTCTGTCTTTTCTATTTTTCTGAAACGCCATACAAAGTAAGAAATAACCCATTCAGAATAATTAGATTTATATATATATATATATAATTTATATAATTACAGGCCTTGTTGGTCGTCAAATTTCGTTTTGCATTCACAAAGATTCACTTGGACATCCAAATTAATATGCTAAAAACACATTTTTCACAAAATTGACAGAGTGGTTCTTTCATGATGTGGTAGAAGACATCTTTCCAGCAGTTAAACTTTGAAATGGAAGAGTATGTGCTTCTTCTTGGATTGTGGATTTTTCAGTTGAGGAGGAGGCATAGATGTAATTTCAAGGTTAACTGGCTAACCAGGTAACTGAACTTTTTTTGAAAGTAAAAACATCATGAGACAAATTATTACTCAAAGCAGAGCATTTCCGTATATCTTCGAACATTTGGCAGGGATCTTTACATTTTTGTTGAACTATTTTATAGAGGTCTTGAGTCAACATCATTGATGACTGTAGGAGCTGTTTTTTATGAGGGGATTGAAGTGCATTGCGTTTCACAGAGATATTCAGTATAACAACACAATTCAACAGCAGCACCATTTAACTATAAAATGTTCAATCAATACTGTAAAGCACTTTAAACAAAAACCTGATGTACACACACACTTTAAAAATCACAGTTACTAGACTTTACAGTATCTTACTAATCCTTAAAACACGTCGTGTTAATTTTCCGTTCTTTAAATTGTCACAAACCTTAAAGTGAGTGTATCAATTTCACAGGTGAACCTTGACCTTCACGTTTGGGAACAAAGAAGTTGGCAACTGACAACGGCAAAAAACAGATCTTCATACAAATTCGTCAAAGACAAAATAAGGTGTGAATCGTTCAGATTTTATCTGAAATGGTTAGTTAACATGACAGGTGAGGAGAATGCAGCACAGGTTGTTCCTCTCTTGTGCAAAAAATCATACCACGTAACGTTCAGCTGCTGTTGTGCTGCTGTCGTGAAATATAATTTGCGACTGTGATAATACCCTGAATGAACTCTAAACCGTCACTTGTTTTGTTACGATACCTCAATATAAAGTGCAAAATGCCCTACTTTATATTCCGAGGTTGATCTCAGGCGGTTTCACAAACAACTTCTGCACTTCCTGGAGCCAATGAGCTGGATTCTTTGGTCTTTATAAACACAGGAGAAAACCGTCAGCGCCCCCCGTGGCCGTAAACAGTACTGTCGTTAACACATGTGAGGGTGTGAGTCAGGTTGAAGCAGCGGTGCGTCAGTTTCTTATGAGGTGCAGACTTTATGAAACTTCAGCATCACCACAAAGACCCAGAGGACAAGGGGAATTTCTCTCAAAGGGGATCTTTTGGTCTGGACTGTCCCACTGACTCAGTAAATGGCACGACAGGAGAAAACGACTTGCTGATCTTGACTTTTCTAACTTTCTACTTTTTGTGAATTGTTTTAAAAACGTTTGAATGGTATAAATTGAAAGCCCACTTGGCCGATTGGACCGGGTACACGATTGGACCGTCTAATTGCTGGTGAGTTTTTTTTTGTTTTTGTTTTTTTAAAACACTTTTTAAGGGAGAAATTCCATTTATTTG